CATACGGCTGCCCCGCCGCCTCCCAGCCGCCCCGGGCTCCCCTAATGCTTCCCTCCCCACAATGTTGTTTCATTATATCATGTCCATCATGTGACACCCGCAGGCCTCTCTCTCTCTCTTTCTCTATAGAAACTTAAAGGGGACTTTCACGTGACGACGACACCGCCGCCGGACCCGCCGGTACCCCCCGGTACTCCCCGATACCCCCCGGTACCCCAGGACCGACCCGGGGTGGAAGGGGGGGGGGGCTTCCAGCCCCGCTGCCGCTTTTTTCGCACCTCCCACCCTCAGTTTTAGCGAGTCAAAGCAAGTTGCGCTGCGCTTCCTTGTGCTATTACCATTAGTATTAATTAGGGGTTGGTGTTTTGGTTTTTTGTTGGTTTGTGGGTTGTTGGGTTTTTTGGGTGTTTTTTTGGTTTTTTTTTTTCGCCTTTTTCCCTTCCCCCGCCTGTGATCGCTAAGGGAAATAACCGCTCGCCGCGTTCCCGGGCCAGGCACCTCCTTACGAAGCCGGGGATGGACCCGGCTCCACGGAGGATGCGGGATTCGGTGCTCGTCTGCCGCTACTAAAAAAAAAAAAAAAAAAAAAAAAAAGAAAATAGGAAAGAAAGAAGAAAAAAAAAAAACTTGTTTGTGAAGGCTGGAGATGTGAGCGATGCTGTCGGTGTGGCTCTGTGCGGGCACGATGCGGTGCTGACGGACGTGGTTTTTAAACTCCGCCAGTTGATAGGGGAACCGATTTACCGGTCTAACCGGGGATACCGTCGGTTTTCCCCGGGGCGGGTGGTAGAGATGCTGGAAGGAGCCCTTCCCTAGGGCTGTACGCTTGCCGCTGCAACGATGCGAGCCGCTTATACAAACAGCCACCCCTTAGAGAAGAAACCAAACGGCAAAATGAAGACGGTTTCCGTGTTTTTGAGAAGAACCCCCCGCCCCGGTTGCTCCCGCCGACCCCGCCGCCGGTCTCCAGCCGCCTGCCCGCCCGCGGCCGGGGGTGCGGGATGCCGGGCGGGCGGCGCGGCGTTCCTCAGGCTGCTGTTCTGCCTGCGGTGCTGAAGTGGGTTGGTTGGTTGGGTTTTTGGTTTGGGGTTTTTGTGGGTTTTTTGGCTTTTCCCAGCTTTCCTCCTGCCCCCCACCAAGGAGTTGGGATGGAGGAGCTAAAGCCCACCTGCTCCGTGCTCCCACCGCATGCCAGGTTTGGCGATACACAAGGGGGGCTCACTGGGATTTCTTCATTGAAGGTGCTTCTTCACGGGAGGTCCCCCAAATTCTGCGGCCGAACCGGTGGCATCACGTCGCTACTGGTGGTCAAGGGCAAGTTTCAGGGGGCTAGCTTGTAGGGGAGGATGGATTTGCTGTTAAAAACTGAAGGAGAAAAAGCGTGCGGCATTCGTTCCTCCTTAGGAAATCACAGCCCCTCGGCAGGTTAAAGCACGTCCCACAGATCTAATAAATCTTAAGTTTGGAATTTAATTTCTTCAGTGTCCCACCGAGTTTTCTTGAAGAGAGTCAGGAAGGATAATGATAGGACAAGGGGAAACGGTTTTAAATTGGAAGAAAAAAGATTCAGATTAGATATCAGAAAGAAATTTTTTACTATGAGGGTGGTGAGAGCCTGGAACAGGTTGCCCAGAGAAGCTGTGGCTGCCCCATCCCTGGAGGGGTGCAAGGCCAGGCTGGATGGGGCTTGGAGCAACCTGGTCTGGTGGGAGGTGTCCCTGCCCAGGGCAGGGGGGTTGGAACTAGATGATCTTTGAGGTCCCTTCCAACCCAAATCATTCTATGATTCTATGATTCTATATAAATGACCTTTTTCCCGTCTGTGGCATTGACGCTGATGCCCGTCACACATACTGTCAGCCAGGGGAGGGGACCAGAGCCAACGCAGGCCCAATCCTGGCAATGAGGGCAGATCATCTCCCTTCGCTCTCCCATTAGTGCTTTCGGAGTCAAAATACCTGTGTTTTACCCCACTCCTTTCCAAGAGCCCGTGCAGTGAGCTGTATACATAACAGATCGGTGTTTCAGATACCTCTACTATTATATTTCAAGATTTTTCAGGAGTTTGGTAGAAATTAATGGTTTAACTGAAAAGAGTTAAGTGAGTGAGAGAGGTTAATCCTCCTTTCCTTCCATCTTCTCAGAGTCTTCCTTCTATCCACCCTACACTTCGTCATGGTTTATCTGTCCTTTCCCATCCAATTTTGAGGGGATTTCTATCTCTGGGTTCCTTTCTGCCATTTTATCCCGGTTGCCCCTCTCCCGTGGAGTCTAGCTCCAGCGTGCCTCACTTTCCCTCTCCCTGCCTCACTGAGCCTCTTTTTTTTTTTTTCCCATATTCCCTTTTTCAGATCATCCTTAAAGGAGAAAGAGGCTGGAGCTGGGATATAAAGTAGTCTTCCAGGAGTACTGCCAGAACTGATCTGTTTTACTCTGCTGCTGCTGCTGCTGCTGTTGCTGTTCTGCTGTGTCATGGGAAGAGAGTTACCTAGCCCTCGGAAACGGCACCTCAGGCACAGCCTCTTGCTGCACACCCGAGCCGTGTTTTCCACAGCCGAAGGGTAAGTTTGCCTGGCTCAGGATTTAGGCTGGAAGGAGGAGGTCTCACCGCTCCCTTAGCGGGCTCTGATCGGGGGGGATCAGTGCCCGATGTTGGGAGATTTGCAGGAGGCAGAGTGGCGGCAGCAGCGGTGACAGCGCATCATCTCACAGCTTCATTTCGTTTTGTCAAGCCAAGACGCTTGAGGTTACAGCCGAGCAGAAAAGCAAAATGATGCATCTCTGTAAAAAGGGGCGCTTTTCCCCAAATTTTCTTTAGATTCTTGCAAGGAGGTCTCGCACTAAGAAAGAGCAGGGATTCTGCCTCCTCTTTAGAACTGTTTATAGTAATAAAATCTTTACAATCTTGGGTCCTTCCACCTGACCCTGTTTCCTTCAAAAACTTACTTTCAAAAATGTGAGGTTTCAAGACGATTCCTCTCTCTCTCCCCCTCCCAAGTTTATGTTCCTTGGAAAGGCCTGAAGAAGCCTAAAGCTATACCCACCTGTGAATGAAAAAGGTTTGAATAAACACCGCCGTGCGCATACACGTGCGTATACACGAGCACGCACAGGATTTAAAGCATCCCATTGAAAGGGCACATATAGGAAAATCCTTCATCATGTGATAGACTTTAATATCTGCCTTAAAATTAATCCCTAACTGATGGACTGTGTCTTTGCCTGGTGGCAGATCACAGGAGGCTCAATAGCTGGAGTTCCTGTCCAGGTTTTTTTTTTTTTAGACTGTCAAATAAAATCCCCTGTTTGCTGTTGGATTAATCTCTGTTTTCACAGCAGCTACCTGGGAAATGCTCATCTTGTAAAAGCATGTAAGAAAACTTTATGGGGCTCCAGTCCTAATTTTCTGTCATAAAAATAAAAAAGAAAAAAGTTCCTTGTCATGGAATCAGGACAAGATCCCATGCTATTCCACAAGGAAATGGTTAAAGGGCTCGTCAGAGTTTTTCAGTTCCTCTGTTAGAGGTAAAGCTCTTGGGTTTTATTACAGCTTGAGCTTCAGAGATGGTCCTGCTCACTTATCAATGTTGTCTTAGCTTCTTTTTTTGTTCATTTTTGTCACTGAAACCGAGTCTTCTCGTTTCACTTCTCTTTCTAATTCATTTCACTCTTTAGTTCCCATGTGTTAGAAAGTGCAGTTTCGTTTCGACTCTCGACAGAAGAGAAGAAAGCCCGATTCCAGAAAGCAATTTGCAGTAATGTATTTTCTTTGCTGCTCACATGAAAACATTACTACTCAAACAGATCTAGGTATAAACAATGCTGACAGGCCCTCAAAAACAAAACCGAATTGTGAAATTGAGGCAAATAGCCCAGAGAACCTGAAATGTTCTGGTTTCTAAAACACTGGCTGCTGTCAAAAATGGGGTAAAATAAAGCTTTGTTTACGTGTAGAGCAGAGTGTTTGTTGATCGAGTTTCTAAGGTGATGTAGCAGGAAATACTGATCTTAGGAAAAATGACACGAACAAAGCACGAAACTATAATTCAGCAGCTATTTGTGAACTGATAATAGAAAAAAAAAAAAAAGGGTATTTAAAAAGTAACGAGGGGTTTTCGTTGAACTTCTTCTCTCCCTTGCCTGCAAATACACAGCGAGCCTCTCACCTGCTCTGCTCCTATCCATAACTATTTGCAAGACCAGAGCTAAATCGTTTATCGGAAGGAAATGTTGGATGCAAATACCTACATGAGCTGTTTCTACGTCATGTCACGGACGAGATGGGATGCTCGAACAAGGTTATAATGTACCTGCATTTTCTCCAGATCGGTGCCAAGCTTGCTGAGTCATTTTCCCTGTTCCCATTCTGCAGTCGGCTGCTTGCTCGCTATTCCCTGTTATTTGTGTGGGTCGTAAGCCCAGCAACAGATGAGAATAAATGCTTATATTTCTTTAGGCTGCCTCCCTAAGGAAATAAAGGTTCTGCTGAGCTGCTTTTCTGTTCGCGTCTGTGTCCATCCCCCTTCTCCCAAAAGCTTCTGAACCCATTAATGAATTTCAGATGAACTTGGGAGAAGGCAGATATTTCAAAGACAGTTATATTCCTGCAAGTTGCATGAAACTCAGCACCCAGACAGGAGGGAGAGAACCAAATCAGAAACTGAAGCAGAATTTAGCCATAATGCATCAGGTCTGGCAGCCACCTTCCAGACACCCAACCTATACGTATCAGCCATGTATAAATATATATATATATATGTACAGCTACGCCGAGCCACAGCGCAGCTGTATCCTGTTTAGGTGCATCCCTGGCAAGCAAGGGGTATCATGGAGAGGCAGAGGAACCAGGATAGTTCAGGGAACATGTTGTTTTCAAAGGAATATCTTCATATGAAAGGGAAAAATGAATACCTGGGAATTCCTCGATGTAGTTTTGGGAAACGATCTAACTTTGGTGCCACTCTCAAAGCAAACTGTGGCAGAGAAGCCGGGTCGGGCTGTTCTTAGGGCTACCACGGCTTTTCAGTCTAGTGCTCTGTTGGCCTTGGCACTAAAGCTATAGGCAAAGATCTCCCATCTGCACCTCTTCCAAACGTGGTTAGTAGATGCGTTGCTGCTGAGATGCCCACATGCCCAAGTGAAGAGCAGCCTCAAGCACAGGCTTGAGCCTGTTGAGTCCTTACAGCCCCACTCTCCCATCTACCATCCTGGTGTGGCCTCGCTGTAGCTGAGACTCAGAGCTGGCTTATGCTTGCCAAGAGCCAAACCTGGGGTATCTCCTCATGGACAAAAAGGAAACATGATGAGTTCCTACCTAGGTTGAAGCCCTCCCGACATGCCTAACCGAGACTACGGCATGGGAGAGCTCTTGCCCTGCATCTCCGCCTCAACGAGTGCTGGGAGGCAAGCCTGGGGATGATGGTCAGGTCAAGAGAAGAGGACAGGATCAGACCCATTCTCACCTGAGAGCGAAGACTTGATTTCTATATCCTTTCCCTACCAGCTGCACCTTGCTTGGACCAGCCACTGCAGGACAGATATCCTCAGGCTACGCATAACAAGCTCCCATCTCAGTTGCAATTAGTTTGGTGCAACAACAGTTTCAGCGTGACAAACTGCGAGCTAAAAAAAGCCGTGCCTTCATATGCATAAACTGGATGCACAAAATATATGTATTGTGTGTCACCTCCCTTATGTCCCACATTTGTTCCTGCAGCAGTCGCAAACGGCATATGCTCCAGCAATACCACACGGTCCGGATGGACTATGGAAATACAGGAGTGGTCTGGTACCACTGCTCTTTGAAACCAAGTCATTAGCTGTTGTACCATGAGATGCCACGTATGGACCTCTTCTGGAAGAAAGACTTCTACATATAAATTAAGATTCATTAACCTCTGATGATTAATCTATAAAATTGGAGCCAGCCTTTCCATCAAGGAGTACGTTATTATCTCTGTTACAGCTGCTACACCCCAACTGAGGTCAGGGGCCTCATTTTGCTGGACACTCTTTAGTCATACCTTAGGAGATAACCTCTGCCTTGAAGGGCTTACAAAGCAAGAAGACAAAAGAGTGAGCAATATAACTCTCAGGCAGAGCAAACACAGTGACCTTTTGCAAATGTCAAGTTAATACCGTGATCTGGAAGTGGAAGAGGTTTATCAGAGGGCAGATGGGTCAACAGGGATGGAAGACACTCAGGGCTGGGGGCTGAGATGAAGGAAAAGCCATAGCAGAAGCTGTGTAGTAGGAGAGGAAGTGCATGCAGAGTATTATATAGTCAATTTGCATATCCAGGATAAAAACTGGTGTGGGGAAAAAGAGTTTGATGACCCTGCCCACAGCTCACAGGTCAATCAGCTCCCACCTGTAGTCTCTTCCTGAAAGCCACGCAGCCCGGAGAGGGGAGATGGAGAAGGCAGAAGCTGGACAGCAGGGTTCCTCCTACGTGCTGGTTCTGCACAGTCGGCTGGAGGTGTGATAACCCTGTTTTGGGGGTTGAGCAGGGTTCCTCCTACGTGCTGGTTCTGCACAGTCGGCTGGAGGTGTGATAACCCTGTTTTGAGGGTTGTTTCTTTCTCTCTGTGGCTCGGCCTCCTGCAGCTGTGTTTGTTGCAGCTGAGCCTCAGGGCTGGAGTGAGACGTAGTTCAGTGCTCTAAGTCCAGGGCAGCACATAATTGAATATTAACAGGAACAGCTCCAGGAGCTACTGGGACTCAGGAAGTCACAATTCCTTCTCTGCTGCTCCTTCGTCTTAGTGGGAGGTGATTGCTGGAGGCCTTAATGGATGTGAGATATAATATGCTTCCCTCACATTAGCTCCAGTTTGCAAACTGAGGCTTTAACCACATCCTACCCTCTCTGATCATTTCCTCATGCACCTTTTCAGCAACATGTGAAGTGCACAGCCACCCCAGCATCCCACGGGCAACCAAGCAGAGAAGTGCAGAGACCGTACAAACATTGATTTTATACCTCATTTCTCCAGTGAACGAAGGGGGTCTCACCTTTAAGGCTTATCCAAATCTGCCAAATATAAATTGTTGAACTCTTTGCCCCTGTTTCAACCTTTTGAGGGCAGGAATTATTTCTTTGCTGAATGAGGATGCCATGAACATCATATATATAAGGTCAGGAATTATTTCTTTGCTGAATGAGGATGCTATGAACATCATATAAGGTCCCATAAAGTGATTTTTAAGTGGAAAGTCTTTAGTATCATTAATACTAGTCACTCGCCATGCTGTCTCTCAAGATAGTTTAGAGCAGACCAATGCTCAGTGGTCCCTCTCCAAAATTAAGGACGTTATAAGAGATCGTTCCCTCCTCAAAACCGTGCTGCAGATCTACATTGAGAAGTTCAGTCTATGGTCATGTTACTGGTAAGGAATAAACAAAGTGTTTTACAACAAGAAAGATACCTACAGAAACCCGTCCGTGCCATCTGATCATTCAGAACTTGGTGCTAGTCTGAGAAGGGAGAAGTAACCCCTTCAGAGTACCATGAATTTCCCAAAGACCCAACAGTGAACAACAGCCAAAATCTTAAATTCCTTCCTCCTCTTCTTAGTTTTCTCTTCCTTCTCACTTTAAAATTCACAATATCCTTGACCTTGGTGTACCATTTTCCTCCAGGTCCACCAGCACTTGTTCATTGCATGAGCCCTTTATTTTTAAAAAAAACCCTTCCTCAATCTCCTTTTTTTCATTAGTTGATGTACAATAGACTCTACCATGGGACTGCTTCTGGGTTGGTTTTTTTTTTTCATTTCGCTCTTCCTTTATCTCTACCCAGAGACATCCAGCAGATTGTTTCATAATCTTCCTAGAGTTCAGAGAAAGTATATTCCTTCCAGATAGCCTGTGAATTCTCTCCTTCTTTATCCTCATCACCTGCCCGTCTTGAACAACAGTCCTGACAAGCTTTATCTGTGTATTATTCCTTCATTTGCAAATTAGGAGTTCCTTGTTAGGGAGAAGTGAGAAATGCTCTGTTTCCCTGCCATGCAATGTATGTTTTTGCACAACTGCTGTGCATTTCAGCCCTTGGAAAAGAGGACCGTAGCATCACATTCATCCCTCTGTCAACCACACGCTGGCTGTTTGAGATCTTCAGGAAAGGAGGCTCTTTGTTCTGCTCATCTAGGGCTATATGGGTACATTAGAAAAGAAAATGGGGGAAACTGTGCAACACACAGGGGGAAGGATTGATTTTGGTTGTGGATGGGGAAAGCTCCATGCTTCATTTGGTATCACTGGCTTCCTCCTGTTGCTGGATAATTAATTAAAGCCAACAGTGTGTTTGCAGCTACGCTAAGGAACAAATACAAGATTTGCATCACTATTTTGTATTCTGGGTGGACCTGGGGAAGCTGGAGGCATTGGCACACCTAGAGAAGACAGTCATGGAAAAGGAGAGCTGGAGAGAGACCATGAATCCCTCTCGCTGCCCTGAGCAGAATCCAACCATCCCTGAGAGAGGCTAATTGACTTCCAGAGAGGAAGACTTAGGAATTAATTTAGAAATTTTAATTTTAATTCAAAGAAATTTGCTTTGAATTAGAAAGCTTTTAGGTTTGATTTGTGGGTTTTTCTTCTTTCCCAGATATCCAGTAACAATGATCTTTGCAGGAAATCAAGCCAATTTAGTTCTGTTGTACCCAGAACAATTGTTTAATATTATTTTCATAAGTCTCCTCTGTCTTAGAAGATAGTTTCATCTTCCTGTGCTTTTTTTTTTTCCGCATTCTGGAGCAAGCAAAGAAAATCCTTTGGTTTTTGAACCATTTATAATCCTTGTTGCTTTCCTCTGGCCCTTCTCCTATTTTTCTACGTCTTTCTTCTACTTTCTCCTAGCACGCCATCCAAACCCACACCTGGTATTCCAACCGAGCCCTCATTAGAGTGGAATAATTGCTTCTAATGTTTTGCCTCCTACATTCTTGTTGATACACCTCAGAATAAGACTTGCCTTTTTCTGCAACAACTGTGTACTGTTTAGTGTCTCGTTCATGGCTCTTTTTCCTTTAAATGGCTGCTTGACCAGTGATTTGCCACTTTGCGTTGACATATTTTGTTGCTTTTGACCATACTGAACCAAATCTGGTTGATTTTATACTGTTACTCCTATTTTCCAGCAACATTTGGAAACACATCCTCTGGAGTAATTATATATTCTTTATTTCGTCATACAAATAACTAATGAAAATATTAGAATCGGGTCCAGGAGCGAACCCTGTGGGAGCCCATCTGGAAAGTCTTCTAAATTCAAAGGAAAAGAATTAGCAATTCTTGTGTGAATACATTTTTTTTTTCTGTCAAGTATGTCTTAAGATGATTTAGCAGACATCACAGTTCTTGGTCAGCTTATGGGAATGTCATGTGAAACGGTGCTAAAAGCCCTGCTTATTTCAAAATATGACATATACTCCC